CTCCAACTCAAAAAAAAAAAAAAAATTAACCAGGCATAGTGGCACGCACTTGTAGTGTCCAGCTACTCAGAAGACTGAGGTGGAAGTATCACCTGAACCAAGGAGATTTCAAGCTGTAGTAAACCATGGTTGTGCCCTCCAGCCCTGATCAAAAAATTGAATGCAGAGAATGCATTCTCGCTTCCTGCTGGACATTTATGGTGTGTTCTCACACTTCCCATTGGTGCAGCAGACCAATCTGTGGTCAATTATATCAGGTTTCTGGGGAAATAGAAAGTTAATCTAAGATAATTTTTCCATGGAGAAGAAAGGGTTTTATTAATCTTTTGTTCACATTTCTCCACGTTTAAAAGTCAAAAGTCTCTCATGTATTGCTGGTATACACATGAAATAGTGCAGCTACTGTAGAAAACAGCAATAAATTAACCATACTCCCAGCAATTCCGCTCCTAAGTATAGTCCCCAAGAATTGAAAACATATGTTTAAATAAAATTTTGTACATAAATACTCATAGCAGCACTACTCACAATAACCAAAAGGCAGAAATAACGCAAATGCCCATCAGCTGATGAATGAATCAAAATGTAGTAGACCCACACACTCGAATATTCAGCCACAAAGAGAAACGAAGCTCTGACATGTGCTGTGATATGGATAAACTTTTAAAATGTTATGCAACATGAAAGAAGCCAGTCACAGCAAGATCAGATATGATCATATCTATATGAAATTTCCAGACTAGGCAAATCCATAGCGACAGAGAGCAGATTAATGGTTGCCAGGAGCTGAGAGGAGAGGAAAGTGGGCAGCGACTGATCAGGGGTACAGGAGTTCCTTTTGGGATGATGAAAATGTTCTAGAGTCGGGCACAGTGGTTTATGCCTATAATCCCAGCACTTTGGGAGGCCAAGGTGAGAGGATTGCCTGAGCCCATGGGTTTGAGACCAGTCTGGGCAACTTGGCAAGACCTCATCTCTACCATAAATCAAAAATTAGCCAGGCATGGTGGTGCGTGCCAGTAGTTTTAGCTACTTGGAAGGCTGAGATGGAAGGATCACCTGAGCCCAGCGGGTCAAGGCTGCGGTGGCCTTGAGCATGCCACTGCACTCCAGTCTGGGTGACAGAGTGAGACTCCAACTCAAGAAAAAAAAATTCTAGAAACATTTCGTGACGGTTGCATGACATTGTGAATGTACTAAATGCCACTAAATTGTACACTTTAAAATGATTAAAGCAAAGACTTTTAAGTGTATTTTTACCAGAATTTTTTTTTTTCAATCATGAGAGTGGAAAGAATTAGCAGATGATAGCCGGGCTTGGTGACTCAGCCTGTAATCCCGTGCCTTTGGGAGGCTGAGGTGAGTGGATTGCCTGAGCCCGTGGGTTCGAAACCTGTCTGGGCAGCGAGACCTCATCTCTACAATAAATCAAAAAATCAGCCGGGCGTGGTAGCGCATGCCTGTAATTCCGGCTACTAGGAAGGCTGAGGCGGAAGGATCGCTGGAGCCCAGCAGGTCGAGGCTGTGGTGGCCGGGAGCGGACACTGCACTCCAGTCTGGGCGACAGAGTGAGATTCCAACTCAAAAAAAAAAAAAAAAAGAATTAGCAGATGATGCTAGAATGGTGTCTCATGCCTATAATCTCATGCCTATAATACTTTGGGAGGCTGACGCAGGAGGATTGCTTGAGCCCAAGAGTTCAAGACCAGTGTGGGCATCATAGTGACACCTCTTCTCTGCAAAAAATACAAAAGTTAGCCAGGCATAGTGGCACATGCCTGTAACCCCAGCTACTCAAGAGGCTGAGACAGAAGGATTGCCTGAGCCTAGGTTGTCAAGGCTGTGATGAGCTGTGATCATGCCACTCCTGGGTGACAGTAAGACCCCAGCTCAAATAATAATAATAATAATTAGCTGATGGGGAAAGGGTGTCTCCCTCCTAGAGGATTCTGGGTAGAGACTGAGCTGTCCCTGCTGCCTCTCAGACCCTTTTCCAAACTATCTTTGCCTCCTCCAGGCCTGGCTGGACACCCAGGACCGGTGCTTGGGCCACTATGTAAATGGGAAGTGGTTAAAGCCTGAACACAGGAACTCAGTGCCTTGCCAGGACCCCATCACAGGTATGAGATGCCCCCTTTCATGAGGGGAGAGAGAGGAATCCTTGTGCTCCAGTTGGTACCCACCCATTCTCTTTGTTCAGGGCCCTGAGGGCAGGGAGCAGGTAGTGGTTTGAGGGAGACTGAGATTTCTGATTCCTTCTGATAACAATTATAACCCAATTAAGGCTCTGAGTCCCTGTGAAGGCCTTTTGAAGTTGCTGTCTACTGAAACCCCTCCCTTGCCTGTGGGAGGCAATCAGCAATGACTGATGCAATGGAGACCCAGACAGGGACTGGGGACCAGCTTCACTGCCTGGGGCCGCTCCCAGGCTCCAGAAGTTTCAGGCCCTCCAGTTCTGACGTGGGCTACCCCCTTCTCTCCCACCTGGGTCCCCCCAACTTTTCTCCCCAGGAGAGAACTTGGCCAGTTGCCTCCAGGCACAGACAGAGGATGTGGCTGCAGCCACAGAGGCAGCCAAGACCGCATTTGAGAACTGGAGCCAACTCCCTGGAGCCATCCGGGCCCAGTACCTGACCAGGTGATGCAGCCAAGGGTGAACCCCAGGAGGCGGGGAGGGGCTTGATCCCCAGCATCCACTGGAGCCTGTGGGAACAAAGACTCTTGTCCAAGATCCCATGGAATTAACTGACAACTGAGGCTCACATTTCCAGCATGCCTTGGAGGGGGCAGGGGCCAAAACACACACAGCAAAGCCTCTATTTCCCTGAACATCCTGGGGGTTCATGGGCTCCATTTCTCAGCAATTTGCTGGGGCTTGTAAAGCCCCCAGACCCACTTCCTAGCTGCTTTGGGGACAGCTGGAGACAAAGATTTTATTTCCTAAAATGCAATTGAGATTAGAGACTAAGACTCTATTTCCCAGAGACTTTGAGGGCTTACTGATAACCAAGACCTTTAGACCAGCAGTCCCCAACCTTTTTGGCATCAGGGACCAGTTTCGCAGAAGGTAATTTTTCCACGGATACGGGTGGGATCATCAAGCATTAGATTCTCATAAGGCGCACGCAACCTAGATTGCTGGCACGTGAAGGTCACAATAGGGTCTGCTCCTATGAGAGTCTAATGCCACCACTGACCTGATAGAAGGCGTATGTATCTCTGCTTACCTGGCACCCACCTGGACCAGTATTGGTCTGTGGCCTGGGGGTTGAGGACCCCTGCTTTAGATGGCATCCTCGGAGTTGTTTCCTCAACTACAATTTCCATAAGTCTCTTGTGCCCTCTGCCCTTCGTAAATGGTAGGGATGCCCCAGGGGGTCATGGGGATGGTAATCAGCGTACGGGGCCAGTCCAGGACTCTCTCAGGCTGAGGGGCACTGGGAAGTGACTGTCCCCCTTTCTCCACAGCCTGGCCAAGACGATCCAGAAGCACCAGCGGCTGCTGTGGACCCTGGAGTCCCTGGTTACCGGGCGGGCCGTTCGAGAAGTTCGAGACAGGGAGGTCCCCCTGGCCCAGCAGCTGCTTCACTACCATGCAGTCCAGGCATACACCCAGGGGGAGGCACTGGCAGGCTGGGAGCCCATGGGTGAGAGCCTGGAGTCCCAGCCCCCAGCACCCTCCTCCCGCATGATCCAGAAGCACCAGCTCCAGTTCCCTCATTTTTATTTTTTGTCTTTTATATTTTCTTGCAGGAGTGATCGGCCTCATCCTGCCACCCACGTTCTCTTTCCTTGAAATGATGTGGAGGATCTGCCCTGCCCTGGCTGTGGGTAAATGATGGGCTGGAGGTCCCGACTCTTGGAGCTGAGAAAGGAGGGGTTTGGGGGCCCAGACCAGGGTCTGAGGGAAGAGCGGCTGGGGCCTGGACTCCTGGATCTGAGGGAGGAGGGGCTGAGGTCTGGACCCCTGAGTCTGAGGGAGGAGGGTCTGGAGGCCTGAACTCCAGGGTCTGAGGGAGGAGGGGCTGGGTCCTTGAGCTACCCCTGTTCTCCAGGCTGCACCGTGGTGGCCCTCGTGCCCCCAGCCTCCCCGACACCCCTCCTTCTGGCCCAGCTGGCAGGGGAGCTAGGCTCATTCCCAGGAATCCTCAACGTGATCAGTGGCCCTGCCACCCTGGGGCCTGTCCTGGCCTCCCAGCCTGGAATCCAGAAGGTGGCCTTCTGTGGAGCTCTTGAGGTATCTTCAGGGCTGGGCATGGGGTGGGACACGGCTGGGGGCTGGGGGCACTCCTCCTGCAGCTGAATCCCAGCGGGGTCCCTCAGGAAGGACGTGCCCTTCGGCGGACCCTGATGGGCCAGTGGGCTGAGCTGGGCCTGGCACTGGGCGTGGAGTCTCTGCTGCTGCTGACTGACACGGCGGACGTGGACTCGGCCATGGAGGGTGTTGTGGACGCAGCCTGGTCCGACCGCAACCCGGTGAGACCCGTGCACTCATATTCTCTCAGATCCTGGGGCTGTCCACATCTATCTCCAGATCTTGGGGTCCTGAGCCTCTGTTCATTTCAATTTTCAGTTCTTGGGGTCCTAAAACTCTGTGTTGACATCACTGTGTGTCCAACAATTGTTGCTACAAATGTCTAAATCTTATGTACCCTGCTCTCCTGGTCTTGGACAGGCTGGGTTCTGTATCATCTTGTTTTCTCTCTCTCTCTCTTTTTATTTTATTTTATTTTATTTTTTGAGTTGGAGTCTCACTCTGTCTCCCAGACTGGAGTGCAGTGGCCGCCTCGACCTACTGGGCTCCGGCGGTCCTTCCGCTCAGCCTTCAAAGTAGTTGGAACTACAGGTGCGCGCTACCACACCTGGCTAATTTTTTTGATTTATTGTAGAGATGAGGTCTCGCCAAGTTGCCCAGGCAGGTCTCGAACCCGCCGGCTCAGGCAATCCACTCACCTCAGCCTCCCAAAGCCTGGGATTATAGGCTGAGCCATCAAGCCCGGCTCTCTCTCTCTTTTTAAATAGAGATGGAGTCTTGCAATGTTGCCCAGGTTGGTCTCAAACTCCTGAGCTCAAGCGTTCTCCCAAAGTGCTGGTTCTACCATGCCTGGCTGTCCTTGCTTTTTTTTTTTTTTGAGTCGGAGTCTCACTCAGTCGCCCAGACTGAAGTTCAGTGGCTGCTCCCGGCCACCGCAGCCTCGACCTGCTGGGCTCCTGATCCTTCCACCTCAGCCTTCCAAGTAGCCGGAATTACAGGCGTGTGCTACCACGCCCGGCTGATTTTTTGATTTATTGTAGAGATGAGGTCTCGCTGCCCAGGTGGGTCTCGAACCTGCGGGCTCAGGCAATCCACTCACCTCAGCCTCCCAAAGCCTGGGATTATAGGCTGAGCCATCAAGCCCGGCTCTCTCTCTCTTTTTAAATAGAGATGGAGTCTTGCAATGTTGCCCAGGTTGGTCTCAAACTCCTGAGCTCAAGCGTTCTCCCAAAGTGCTGGTTCTACCATGCCTGGCTGTCCTTGCTTTTTTTTTTTTTTGAGTCGGAGTCTCACTCAGTCGCCCAGACTGAAGTTCAGTGGCTGCTCCCGGCCACCGCAGCCTCGACCTGCTGGGCTCCTGATCCTTCCACCTCAGCCTTCCAAGTAGCCGGAATTACAGGCGTGTGCTACCACGCCCGGCTGATTTTTTGATTTATTGTAGAGATGAGGTCTCGCTGCCCAGGTGGGTCTCGAACCTGCGGGCTCAGGCAATCCACTCACCTCAGCCTCCCAAAGCCTGGGATTATAGGCTGAGCCATCAAGCCCGGCTCTCTCTCTCTTTTTAAATAGAGATGGAGTCTTGCAATGTTGCCCAGGTTGGTCTCAAACTCCTGAGCTCAAGCGTTCTCCCAAAGTGCTGGTTCTACCATGCCTGGCTGTCCTTGCTTTTTTTTTTTTTTGAGTCGGAGTCTCACTCAGTCGCCCAGACTGAAGTTCAGTGGCTGCTCCCGGCCACCGCAGCCTCGACCTGCTGGGCTCCTGATCCTTCCACCTCAGCCTTCCAAGTAGCCGGAATTACAGGCGTGTGCTACCACGCCCGGCTGATTTTTTGATTTATTGTAGAGATGAGGTCTCGCTGCCCAGGTGGGTCTCGAACCTGCGGGCTCAGGCAATCCACTCACCTCAGCCTCCCAAAGCCTGGGATTATAGGCTGAGCCATCAAGCCCGGCTCTCTCTCTCTTTTTAAATAGAGATGGAGTCTTGCAATGTTGCCCAGGTTGGTCTCAAACTCCTGAGCTCAAGCGTTCTCCCAAAGTGCTGGTTCTACCATGCCTGGCTGTCCTTGCTTTTTTTTTTTTTTGAGTCGGAGTCTCACTCAGTCGCCCAGACTGAAGTTCAGTGGCTGCTCCCGGCCACCGCAGCCTCGACCTGCTGGGCTCCTGATCCTTCCACCTCAGCCTTCCAAGTAGCCGGAATTACAGGCGTGTGCTACCACGCCCGGCTGATTTTTTGATTTATTGTAGAGATGAGGTCTCGCTGCCCAGGTGGGTCTCGAACCTGCGGGCTCAGGCAATCCACTCACCTCAGCCTCCCAAAGGTACGGGATTACAGGCTGAGCCACTGAGCCCGGCTGTCCCTTGCTTTTTGTTGTTGTTGTTTTCTTTTTTGAGTTGGAGTCTCACTCTGTCACCCAGTCTGGAGTGCAGTGGCATGCTCATGGCCACTGCAGCCTCGACCTGCTGGATTCAGACGATCCTTCCACCTCAGCCTTCCAAGTAGCTGGAACTACAGGCATGTGCCATCATGCCCAACTATTTTTTTTTAATTGTTTGATTTATTGTAGAGATGAGGTCTCACCAAGTTGCGCAAGCTGGTCTTGAACCTGTGGGCTCAGGCAATCCTCTCACCTCAGCCTCCCAACGTGCTGGGATTATAGGCGTGAGCCACTGCGCCCTGCCTTGTCCCTTGCTTTTTTTTTTTGTTACACTCGGACTGCATTCTCTCCCTCTTGCTCCCCCAAAGGAGAGCAGGAACGATCATCAAATCATCAAATGGCAGGTTGTGGCGAAAACAACACCAAGAGCCGCCTTCACGCTCAGGAGAGGACGCTGTGCCTCCTCCTCGTGGTTTCTGGTGCTCTACACAATCAGAGAAACCTCTCTAGTAACAAACTATAGAAGTGATCCCTGAAAGTATAGTCTTTTCCTTGCTTTTTAACTGTTCATTTTTCCATGTCCCTAATTTTCCAACCTCTGCCTTCACTCTTCAGATCACCAAGTTTCTGCGACTTCACATCTGTCCCCGGTTAGGTCTTCGGCCACTTCTCCATGACCCTCTGATGTCACTGTCTCAGCTCTCTGCAGGGGCCTGTCTTGCCCACATCAGCCCTGACTTTGCCCATCTTGACACCTCTTTTCCTAACAGGGCGGCCTCAGGCTCCTCATCCAGGAGTCTGTGTGGGATGAAACCTTGAGGCGGCTCCAGGCGCGGATGGGGCGTCTTCGATGTGGCCGAGGGCTGGATGGAGCCGTGGACATGGGGGCCCGTGGGGCTGCCGCACGTGACCTGGCCCAGCGCTTTGTGCATGAGGCCCAGAGCCAGGGTGCACAGGTGCGGCAGAGGGCAGAGACTGGGGTGTCAGGGGGAGGAGTGGCCTGAAGACCTAACTCCTGGGTCTGAGGTAGCAGGAGGCCTGGACTCCCAGGTCTGATAGAGGAAGGACTGGAGGCCTGGACTCCTGAGTCTGAGGCAGGAGGGTTAGGGGCCTGGACTTGGTCTGAGGAGGAATGGATGGGGTCAACTTCTAGATCTGTTTCTCTCTCTCCTTAGGTGTTCCAGGCTGGTGATGTGCCCTCAGAGAGCCCATTCTACCCCCCAACCTTGGTCTCTCAGCTGCCCCCAGCCTCCCCATGTTCCCAGGCAGAGGTGAGCCCCTTAGGGTGCCAGGGCTCCTCGTCCATCCAGCCATCCTCAGCCAACCATGGGCAGCAACGTGGATTCTACAGAAGCTTCTGAGGTTACCCTGTGACTGGGCCTGGGGGCTGCTGACTGCCTCGGCTCATCCCCTAAGGGGCGGATTGATGGTGGGGGCGGACCGGCCGGGCTGCCTGAGCTCCCCCGTCACCCCTTGCAGGTGCCGTGGCCTGTGGTCGTGGCCTCCCCTTTCCGCACAGCCAAGGAGGCACTGGCCTTAGCCAATGGGATACCCCGGGGGGGCAGCGCCAGTGTGTGGAGCGAGCGGCTGGGACAGGCATTGGAACTGGGCTACGGGTCAGTCGGGGCCATGGGGTGGTGAGGGAGGCCTGTGGGCATGGCCTGAGCCTCCATCTCCCCTCTCCCTGGGTCTCCCCGCTTCTGTGGCTCATCCCTGTCTGTCTCTCCCTCTGATGTGTCCATCCTCCCTGCAGCCTCCGGGTAGGCACAGTCTGGATCAATGCCCATGGCCTCAGAGACCCTGCAGTGCCCACAGGCGGCTGTAAGGAGAGCGGGTCTTCCTGGCATGGGGGCCCCGATGTGAGTGCACCCCTGACCCCATCACCACCCCCTCCCCGTGACACAGCACCCCGCCTTGCATCCCGTGACACTGTCCCTCTCACAGGGGCTTTACGAGTATCTGCGGCCCTCAGGCACCCCTGCCCAGCAGTCCTGCTTTTCTAAGAACTTCAACTATGACACCTTTGGCCTTACTGTGTCCCCAACCCTGCCAGCTGGGCCTGAAATAGGGCCCAGGTGAGTTGCTCCAGGGGCCGGGCCGCCTGGGGATGTGAAAAAGGGAAGAGAAGTTCTGTCAGCTTCCCCATGGACTGGAGGGCTGGGGGGAGTCTGACTCGAGCCATCTCATGACATCCCGGTCCTGCTGAGCTTGGTGTTCTGGGTGTTACATCCTCACACATCCCCCACCTTACGCCTGGCAAGACTCAGTTCCACTATGTGAAAGTCTGTACTCTGCCAACAACTCATGGGGCTAGGATATTGGGGTCCCCCACAGCTCATAGGAACAGAAGTTTAAGGTTCCCCAGAAGCTCATGGGAACAGGAATTTAGGGTGCCGTAGAGGTTCATGGGAGCAAGAGTTTGGGATCCCCCAGAAGCTCATGGGAGCAGGATACTGGGTGCCCCAGAGTCTCATGGGGGCAGGAATTTGGGGTCCCCCAGAGCTCCTGGGAACAAGTTTAGAATTCCACAGAAGCTCATGGGAACAGGAGTTTGGGGTCCCATAGAAGCTTATGAGAGTAGGGGTCTGGGGTTCCCCAGGGGCTCATGGGAACAGGAGTTTGGGGTAACCCAGAGGCTCATAGGAGTAGGAGTTTGGGCTACCCTGGAGGCTCATGGGAGCAGGAGTTTGAGGTACCCTAGAGGCTCATGGGAGTAGGAGTTTGGGGTCCCCTAGAAGCTCATGAGAGTAGGGATCTTGGGCTCCCCAGGGGCTCATGGGAGCAGGAGTTTGGGGTACCCTAGAGGCTCATGGGAGGAGTTTGGGGTCCCCTAGAAGCTATGAGAGTAGGGGTCTTGGGCTCCCCAGGGGCTCATAGGAGGAGTTTGGGGTACCCTAGAAGCTCATGGGAGCAGGAGTTTGGGGTACCCTAGAGACTCATGGGAGCAGAAATGTGGGGTGACCCAGAGGTTCACGGGAGCCGAGGCAGTCTGTCCAGTGGGATAGAGCGTGGGGTCTGAGCGAATCTGGGCCCCAGGACCCCACCTGCCATCTTGCCCTCTTCCAGCCCAGCACTCCCCTATGGACTCTTCGTGGGAGGCCGTTTCCAGGCCCCTGGCGCCCGGAGCTCCAGGCCCATCCAGGATTCCCTGGGGAAGCTCCATGGCTACGTGGCTGAGGGCGGACCCAAGGACATCCGAGGTGCTGTGGAGGCCGCTCACCAGGCTGCCCCTGGGTGAGAGGGGTTGCATGGACAGCCCAGGGGTCATGGGTGGCAGAGAGGATTGTCGGGGGCCCCAACCATTGGTGGACTTGGGGGCTGGGGCCCCGGGGCGTGGATGGAAGTGGGTTGTCTGGGAAGAGCTGGGACCAGGATGCCGACTGCCAATATGTATCATCCGTCCATAGCTGGGCGGGTCAGTCGCCAGGAGCCCGGGCAGCCCTGCTGTGGGCCCTGGCAGCCGCGCTGGACCGTCGGAAGTCCACCCTGGCCTCGAGGCTGGAGAGGCAGGGAGTGGAGCTCAAAGCCGCCGAGGCGGAGGTGGAGCTGAGCGTGAGGCGACTTCGGACATGGGGAGCCCGGGCCCAGGCCCAAGGCCACTCCCTGCAGGTGACCGGGATCAGCATGCAGGGCGACAGGATAGGCAGTCAGGGTGGAGGTCAGAGCAGAGGTTCTGAAATGAGCCAGGCTTGGAGTCCAGGCCCAGCCTTGCCACCACCCAGCTGCATGATCAACAGCAAGTAGCTTCTCCTCTCTGTGCCTCAGTTTCCTCATCAGTACAATGGGCATACAGCCCACCTCACCTCATAGAGAAGCATTTTCCAGGTGTGGTTTGTGTGTATATATATATATATATATATATTTTTTTTTTTTTTTTTTTGAATCAGGGTCACAACTCACCACAGCCTCGACCTCCTAGACTCAGACAGTCCTTCCATCTCAGCTTCCCGAGTAGCTGGGGCTACAGGCATGCACCACCGTGCCCAGCTCATTTTTCTTTATTTTTTGCAGGGAGGAGGTCTCGTGTTGCCCAGGCTGGTCTCAAATTCCTGGGCTCAAGTGATCCTCCCACCTCATCCTCCCAAAGTGCTGGGATTACAGATGTGCAACATTGTGCCTGGCCCATATATACCTATTTTTTTTAACAAAGGAGAGTAAGAAAATGTATATATATATTGTGCCTGGCCCATATATCTATATTTTTTTTAACAAAGGAGAGTAAGAAAATGTAGTATGCATTGCACAGAGTGTTGCTTCATGTGACTTTCATTTAATGTGCATAATAGGCTGGGTGCGGCGACTGACGCCTATAATTCCAGCACTTTGGAGGCCAAGGTGAGAGGACTGCCTGAGTCCAGGGGTTCAAGTCCAGCCTGGGCAACTTGGTGAGATCTCATCTCTACAATAAATCAAAAAGTCGGGGCAACCCCTTCAGTTTCCTTCCCACTGTGGGAGTTTCTCTACATCTCAATAAATCCTGCATTCTCAAAAATTAATAAAGAAAAAAAAATCAGCTGGGTGTGGTGGTGCACGCCTGTGATTCCAGCCACTTGGGAGGCCAAGAGGGAAGGATCCCCTGAGCCCAGCAGGTCAAGGCTGCATGACCATGAATGTATCATTACATTCCAGTCTGGGGGACAGTGAGACTCTAACTCAAAAAAAAAAAAAAAAAGAAAGGTAGGGCCAGGCTCGGTGACTCAGCCTGTAATACCAGCACTTTGGGAGGCAAAGCGAGTGGATTGCCTGAGCCCACAGGTTTGAGACCAGCCCGGGCAACTTGGCGAGACCCATCTCTACAATAAATTAAAAATTAGCTGGGTGTGGTAGCATGTGCCTGTAGTTCCAGCTACTTGGACGGCTGAGGCGGAAGGATCGCTGGAGCCTAGCAGCTTGAGGCTGCAGTGGCCGGGAGCGTGCCACTGCACAGCAGCCTGGGCAACAGAGTGAGACTCCAACTCAAAAAAAAAAAAAAAAAGGAAGGTGGGAAACAGACCCAGACTGGTTAAGTAACTCAAGCAAGGCCACATAGCTGGTGTGTGGCCAAGCTGGGACTTGAAAACCCAGGCTGTGTGGCTCCCAAGTTCTGTGCTCAGAAATGTCACCTGGGTGTATTTTTGGAGCTGTTATGGAGAAGCAAAGATGGGGGTGGGAGGAGGAACGGGGCAGGCAATGGAGAAAGCTAGGGCAGTCAGCCCTCTGCCCCGCCCTTGACCCCCACTTCTCCCTGCAGGTAGCAGGGCTCAAAGGCCCTGTGCTCCGCCTGCGGGAGCCCCTGGGCGTGCTGGCCATTGTGTGTCCGGATGAGTGGCCCCTGCTTGCCTTCGTGTCCCTGCTGGCCCCCGCCCTGGTCCACGGCAACGCTGTGGTCATGGTGCCCAGTGGAGCCTGCCCCCTGCTGGCCCTAGACGTCTGCCAGGTACAGTCGCCCGCCTTCCTGCCTGCCTGCTACTGCTCCCGGGGGTCCCAAGGCTGCAGGAGCTTGTCTGTCACCCTCCCCTCCCTGGTAACAATGGTACCCCCAGTCCTCGCATCTAAGCCTTCGTCCTCAGGGACCTAGGGGCCCCCGAGTTCCATTCCTCCCGGGAGTCCTGTGGCCACTCCCCTGATGCCCACTTCTCACCCTGCCCTCGCAACCCTCCCAACCTGGGTGACCCACCCTCTCATCCCACAGGATGTGGCCACCCTATTCCCAGCGGGCCTGGTGAACGTGGTGACGGGAGACCGGGACCACCTGACCCGCTGCCTAGCCTTGCACCAGGATGTCCAGGCGCTGTGGTACTTTGGATCTGCCCAGGTACTCTTATTTTCACCACCTTCAGCATCTTAAACTTCAGAAAGTCTCCACCTTTCCTGGAAACGTGGCTCCGCCCCATTAGAACTCTTGTTGTTAAGGGGCAGAAACTCCTTGGCAAAAAGGTTCTGAGGCCCTGCCCCTTGAGAATCCCAGTTGCTAAGGAAGAGGACCTCCCTAGCAACAGAAGCCTGAGGGCCTGCCCAGCCCAAACACCTCATCTCAGTGGACAGCCCGTTGCTAAGGGCCGCACCCTAGCAGCTGTGGAGGCTGGCAACCTCCTCCTGGCAACAGATGGGAACTCCTTGTTGACAAGAACCTTGGACCCATTCCCTTGACCGTGGGTGGGCTGTTGAGGGAGAGAAAACCCCCTCCACAGGGTCAGTCTCTCTTCCCTCAGCATCTGGAAGATTTGCCTGCTAGGAGCTCAGCATGATAGCCACAGAGCCTAGATCTTTAGCAGTAGTAAAGGAAGCAGCTACTTAGCATCCAAGCCCACAGAAGTGCTAGCTCCCGCTGGACTTGGCGGCTCATGCCTGTAATCCTAGCACTTTGGGAGGCCAAGGCAGGAGACCAGGAGTTTGAGACCAGCCTGGGCAACATAGCGAGACCTTAAAAAAACAGTGCTAACCAGGCTCAGTGGCTCAGCCTGTAATCCCGCGCCTTTGGGAGGCTGAGGTGAGTGGATTGCCTGAGCCCGCGGGTTCGAGACCCACCTGGGCAACTTGGTGAGACCTCATCTCTACAATAAATAAAAAATTAGCCGGGCGTCATAGTGTGTGCCTGTAATTCCAGCTACTCAGAAGGCTGAGGCGGAAGGATCGCCAGAGCCCAGCAGGTTGAGGCTGC